AATTTCTTAGCTTTGGAATTAGACTTGATTGTTGTTTTATCTGGGACATTTCGAGTCTGAGCAAGATTTTCCCATTTTATGACAAATCGCTTGGAGCTAGATAATTAAGCATTACTTAAATAAAATATGCTCATTACTGCTTTCATAGTCCTTTTAAACGTACCCTTATTTACGCGGTTTGGGGTTCGTATTTCTCAAAGTATACAGATAAACATGGGTATATATCTCCAGTGGATTCTTATTACATTGTAAAAAAGTAATGGTTTGACTTCGTTTTCGCAATTTCATCGGAATGACAGAGAGACCTTGGGGAACCTCTAGTCCTGTGTCTGCCAAAGTATTCATGGTCATTTCTAGCATCGAACCGTTGACTTGCCATATCTCCAGACATCGGTCGGATGCTGGAAATTCTCATAAATTTGAAGGCATAGCACGCAAGGCTAGGTACGTTTTACGAGGTCCCTATTTTGCTCCTACGAAGTTATGAAAGCGGAGTCAAACCAAGACTAAACAAAGAAAGGACACTGCGACCAAACCTAAAGCTTCGCTACCTTGATCTTCATATCTGGAGGCAAGTCGCTTCGGTTCAAGGAATAACTCTAATTTTTTTGACATATCTGTTTCACTATTCTCGAGGATGAATTTTATGACATTTGCTTCTGTTTGCTTGGCTTATACAAGAGGTTTAGCTAATATAATTTTTCTTTCCAACTATAGAGTGATTTTCTATAAGTGTCCTCTAAATCAGGAATCATAACCACTTGAGGTTGAGGGCCTGAATATTTATTTGAATTATTTACCACAGTTATGAATAACTAGTACTAAACCACTGAGGGGTTTATCTAGGGTACAAATGCTTATTAATTAATAACTTAATCTTCTTATAGCTAACACCTAATGGCATATTATTTGTTAAAACTAACCTTGCTAACAGCCACTAATGGAAGAGAATCTCTTTTAGCTTCTCTTCCTCCCTTCTCCCCACGTGGCTCGAAGCCTCCATTCTCATATGCCCAATTGATCGCTCAAGCCTTAGCAAGTCATCCAGATCGGCAGTTGACGCTCAGCAGCATCTACGCCTTTATTAGTCATCATTACCCTTACTATAGGTTAAACGAAAAAGGTTGGCAAAATTCAATTCGTCACAATCTATCTTTGAATCGTCACTTCATCAAAGTGAGTTACTTTGTTGTCTATTGTCTTTTTATTTTCCCGCCAAATATTTTCCCATCTTCATTAGAACAGATTGTCTACGTAGACTGTTCATAAAATCAAAATTAGTGCTTTGGAACCATATCCAAGTATAAGGCCTCAAAAACTTCCGCAGCAACAATTTCTTTTTGGCCAAGTGCGAGTGAGTCACATTTTAAGCGTACTTTTTATCGCTTAAAATGCAAATTCTTCATCCTCAGCATAAATTATTGATTGCTGAAGCTTTACTTGACTGCTCTGATTGAAATAGCTCACCATATTTTGTAAGAATTACTTCCTCTATTTTCACGCGAGGATTTCATAAGTTTTTCGAATGTAGTTATTAATACTTGCCGGCAAATCACTTTTAATGAGTTTACTCTAGTTCTCCTGGTAAAACTAGAAAATAATACAAACTTGACTTGTTTTCTTTCTCAGCATGCAGAAATTATGACCTGCTGATTAGATATATGACTATAAACGATCCTATTGACAGATCACGTGATATGGCATCGAAATTTTATTCATTTTCTCATCCAGTTCTAAATGTCGGTAGACTTATTCTTGAATTATAATTACTTTTGACAGACTAGACCTTGTTCTTCATTTGGCCAGTATTCTTAGCTTTTCAATTTCAAATGCATACATATATATAGGGAGAGAGAGAAAGAGAAATATAATTTCTTCAAGCCTCGTTTTAAATCTATTTAGGTGCCGCGTTCGCAGGAAGATCCCGGGAAGGGTTCATTCTGGCGTATTGATCCACTACACGAAGCCAAATTCCTCAGTCAAGCCTATTTAAAGCGACCGCTACGTGTAAACACCCTACCTTCCCCTCTTGTTGGCTCAGAATTCGGCCTTTTGACCACAGTTCAATCTCACCAGATGTCTCCTGTTGCATACTCGAGCCCTACTTTGCTCAACACATCTGTAACCACCTCTCACACCACCACTGCTGTTGGCGTCACCTCTGTCTCCCCTTCAATCTCCCAGACAACTGCTAGCCTCTCACCGAGCTTAAATAGCAGTAATGTTTCTGCTGTTTCCAACGCTTCTTTACCTTCCTTTAATAGAGGTGTCAACAGCAATTCGGTTGTGCCATGCCAAATGAGCAGCTTGACCAATGGTTCTTGCCACCTTACGGCAATATCATCGGGTCTTTCTAGCCTGAGTCGTAAACAATTGAATCTACCGGTGCTTGGCACCCACTCTCGTCCAATAGGTGGCCTCTCAACTACTCTACATCGACAGCTTATAGGTATGTCTTCGAGCTCTTTTTCACCTTCTATCATCGGTATCTCCGCTTCTACGGAGCATTCGGCCTCACCTTCTCCGTCTCCATCACCATCACCATCTTCTACTCCTGATTCTACTAGCAATCTAACAGGGATTCAAACGACCACCTCTTCACTCGCTTCGGCCCCTCAATCTACGAGCTTGTCTGGTCTTGCTTGCCCTGCCGCCTCGATGCTGCTTCCTTCCGGGCCACCAGGAGCCCGTTTCACTGGACCTTCTGCCGTACGTCTTATTCAGCTTAACTGTTCCACTTCCTCCGCTATTGGAAGTAGCGGCTTCCTCCAAGGAGATGCTTCGAATGGGTGCATTTTTTCATCCTCTTCATCTCCAACCCCCATCATTTCTGCGTTTTCTCTCGTCAACACTGCTGTTACAACAACCTCTCCATCCATTGCTCCAATAAGTATTCTTCCCACCGCTTGTTCTGGAAGTACGGGGCTGAATATATGGACCCATAGTCAACCGGTTTTTTCTATTCGTGCCGATCCCTTACCGTCGACAACAGCTGTAAGTGCTTCACCTATTGTGGTGGGTTCTGGATATCCGAGGTCAACTGGATTATCATCGTCTCTACGTTTTGAGCGGATGCCTGACTTGGGTAACCACTTAAAAATTTTAGCCAACCAAAAATATCAATCTCTGGTTAATTGAA